AATATATCATTTTTTATTAAAGTGATCATTAGCAAGTTGTTAGTTATGAGTACATCATAGGATTTAATGAATTGAAAAAAATTATTATCTTGGGCCAATAAATAGCTGCAACTTATGATATCTGGACAACAAAAGCCTCATTGCAGAATAACATTACCCTAACTAACTAAGGCCTTTGAAGTTTTGGATCTAGATATTCTAACACTTACAGTGTAACCCTTTCACTCCAGGATACTGGATACTCGTTAAGAATGGATAGCTTTTCCAGAATGGTAATGGAGAGTGTATTAGCATTATCAAGAGTTGCAAGAGTGACTTAATTAAAACTTGATAGAGCAATTTTAAGGTGTTCCGGGAGGCTAACTTTTTTTAATCACATCTTCTGAATAGGTTTTGCAAAAAAATAATTTTTGTCTTTACTTATCAGTAAAGATATGTCTTGTTTCTGGAGATAATAATCTCAAGTCCTTTTCTGGACATGTTCAATTCAAATAGGCAATGTGAAAGTATAGCATAAGTGACCAAGTTTACCAAAATTTATGCTTTCAGCCATTTCAGAACTATCCCTTGTTTGGAATGGAAAACTGTTCCAGCATGTCATGGAAGGTAAGACATTGCCTTATTGAAAAACATTACATTCATTCAGACAATCAAGAAATAAAAAGATACATTCACTATTTCTACCAGTTGTTTGATTACATAATTGTATAATCACACGATGAATGATATACTTAAATATATCATTTTTTATTAAAGTGATCATTAGCAAGTTGTTAGTTATGAGTACATCATAGGATTTAATGAATTGAAAAAAATTATTATCTTGGGCCAATAAATAGCTGCAACTTATGATATCCGGACAAAAAAAGCCTCATTGCAGAATTACATTACCCTAACTAACTAAGACCTTTGAAGTTGTGGATCTAGACATTCTAACACTTACAGTGTAACCCTTTCACTCCAGGATACTGGATACTTGTTAAGAATGGATAGCTTTTCCAGAATGGTTAGGCAGAGTGAATTAGCATTAGCATTAGAGGAGGATGCTAAGTTATCAAGAGAAGCAAAGGGAATGTAAATGTGTCTTATGTAAATGTTTCCCCCAGGGGTGAAGATACATGCAGCACACTTGAAATTTAGCAAGGACAAAATTTTGATGCAATTTTGGGTGAAGAGAAACAAGTTTTGTCAGCATCTAGTCACATAATAAGGGTTTAATTCTGGGCGCTCAATGTAGGTCTTTTAATTCCAACCTTTGGGTTCAGGAATCTACCAGGAAGCTGTAATTAGAGGACACTTTACGTTCTGAAGCTTTGGGAAGACTGCTGACCTTTGCTGTTCAAGATTTTTTTATTTCTTATGGACCAGCCGTGCAATATTTTTGTGATATTCATGTATGGAGCCTTTTTCTTGTTGCAAGAGTGACTTAATTAAAACTTGATAGAGCAATTTTAAGGTGTTCCGGGAGGCTAACTTTTTTTAATCACATCTTCTGAATAGGTTTTGCAAAAAAGTAATTTTTATCTTTACTTATCAGTAAAGATATGCCTTGTTTCTGGAGATAATAATCTTAAGTCCTTTTCTGGACATGTTCAATTCAAATAGGCAATGTGAAAGTATAGCATAAGTGACCAAGTTTACCAAAATTTATGCTTTCAGCCATTTCAGAACTATCCCTTGATTGGAGTGGAAAACTGTTCCAGCATGTCATGGAAGGTAAGACATTGCCTTATTGAAAAACATTACATTCATTCAGACAATCAAGAAATAAAAAGATACATTCACTATTTCTACCAGTTGTTTGATTACATAATTGTATAATTGCACGATGAATGATATACTTAAATATATCATTTTTTATTAAAGTGATCATTAGCAAGTTGTTAGTTATGAGTACATCATAGGATTTAATGAATTGAAAAAAATTATTATCTTGGGCCAATAAATAGCTGCAACTTATGATATCTGGACAACAAAAGCCTCATTGCAGAATAACATTACCCTAACTAACTAAGGCCTTTGAAGTTTTGGATCTAGATATTCTAACACTTACAGTGTAACCCTTTCACTCCAGGATACTGGATACTCGTTAAGAATGGATAGCTTTTCCAGAATGGTAATGGAGAGTGTATTAGCATTATCAAGAGTTGCAAGAGTGACTTAATTAAAACTTGATAGAGCAATTTTAAGGTGTTCCGGGAGGCTAACTTTTTTTAATCACATCTTCTGAATAGGTTTTGCAAAAAAATAATTTTTGTCTTTACTTATCAGTAAAGATATGCCTTGTTTCTGGAGATAATAATCTCAAGTCCTTTTCTGGACATGTTCAATTCAAATAGGCAATGTGAAAGTATAGCATAAGTGACCAAGTTTACCAAAATTTATGCTTTCAGCCATTTCAGAACTATCCCTTGTTTGGAATGGAAAACTGTTCCAGCATGTCATGGAAGGTAAGACATTGCCTTATTGAAAAACATTACATTCATTCAGACAATCAAGAAATAAAAAGATACATTCACTATTTCTACCAGTTGTTTGATTACATAATTGTATAATCACACGATGAATGATATACTTAAATATATCATTTTTTATTAAAGTGATCATTAGCAAGTTGTTAGTTATGAGTACATCATAGGATTTAATGAATTGAAAAAAATTATTATCTTGGGCCAATAAATAGCTGCAACTTATGATATCCGGACAAAAAAAGCCTCATTGCAGAATTACATTACCCTAACTAACTAAGACCTTTGAAGTTGTGGATCTAGACATTCTAACACTTACAGTGTAACCCTTTCACTCCAGGATACTGGATACTTGTTAAGAATGGATAGCTTTTCCAGAATGGTTAGGCAGAGTGAATTAGCATTAGCATTAGAGGAGGATGCTAAGTTATCAAGAGAAGCAAAGGGAATGTAAATGTGTCTTATGTAAATGTTTCCCCCAGGGGTGAAGATACATGCAGCACACTTGAAATTTAGCAAGGACAAAATTTTGATGCAATTTTGGGTGAAGAGAAACAAGTTTTGTCAGCATCTAGTCACATAATAAGGGTTTAATTCTGGGCGCTCAATGTAGGTCTTTTAATTCCAACCTTTGGGTTCAGGAATCTACCAGGAAGCTGTAATTAGAGGACACTTTACGTTCTGAAGCTTTGGGAAGACTGCTGACCTTTGCTGTTCAAGATTTTTTTATTTCTTATGGACCAGCCGTGCAATATTTTTGTGATATTCATGTATGGAGCCTTTTTCTTGTTGCAAGAGTGCATACTGATGAACTCTTCAATTCTTTGTTAAAATATGTTGCAGTCATGTAGATGGATAGCAGACTTAATTAAAACTTGATAGAGCAATTTTTTAGGTGTTCCGGGAGGCTAACTTTTTTTAATCACATCTTCTGAATAGGTTTTGCAAAAAAGTAATTTTTATCTTTATGTATCAGTAAAGATATGCCTTGTTTCTGGAGATAATAATCTTAAGTCCTTTTCTGGACATGTTCAATTAAAATAGAAAATAAATGTGAAAGTATAGCACAAGTGACCAAGTTTAAATTTATGCTTTCAGCCATTGCAGAACTATTCCTTGTTTGGAATGTCATGGACGAGTGGATCACTAGTAGCGGTTGATGCTAAGTTAACAATAGGACTAAAGGTAAGACATTGCCTTATTGAAAAACATTACATTCATTCAGACAATCGAGAAATAAAAAGATACATTCACTATTTCTACCAGTTGTTTGATTACATAATTGTATAATCACACGATGAATGATATACTTAAATATATCATTTTTTATTAAAGTGATCATTAGCAAGTTGCTAGTTATGAGTACATCATAGGATTTAATGAACTGAAAAAAATTATTATCTTGGGCCAATTAATAGCTGCAACTTATGATATCCGGACAAAAAAAGCCTCATTGCAGAATTACATTACCCTAACTAACTAAGGCCTTTGAAGTTGTGGATCTAGACATTCTAACACTTACAGTGTAACCCTTTCACTCCAGGATACTATATACTGGTTAAGAAAGGAAATCTTTTCCAGAATGGTAAGGAAGAGTGAATTAGCATTAGCATCAGAGCAGGATGCTAAGTTATCAAGAGAAGCAAAGGTAAGACACTGTTTTGGTGTTTAGCACCCCAGCCCTCTTATGTAAATGTGTCCCCCAGGGGTGAAGATACATGCAGCACACTTGAAATTTAGCAAGGACAAAATTTTGATGCAATTTTGGGTGAAGAGAAACAAGTTTTGTCAGCATCTAGTCACTTGTGGGGAAGGGCCTTTACTTACATTTATGAGTAAGACAGGCCACAGAGACTCTGGTATTTATTTTTCTTTTGCAAAGAATGCTCATTGGATCTTGATAATTCATAAATCATTTGTTCTTTTCTTTATATTCAGGTTGAATCGTCTAGGCATCAGAAAACGAAAAAGGATAAACTATCAAAGATAAACTCAGAACTTCAAAGGATGTGGTACATTGTAAGTTAATTTTGCTGGTAGAAATGTTCCCTTATCCTTACACTGCACTGTACCATTGGATATACCAATGATGATTTTAATGACAGTGACAGTGAGGATGACAGTGACAGTGATGATGATCATGGTGATTATGATAAAGATGATAATAACAGTGAAAATGATAACAATTTAATGACGATGATAATGTTATTAGTGATGATAATGATAATTACTGGCATGATAATAATAATGATAATCTGTCACTGTGCTTAATGCTATGTGACCTACTTGTATTCATGATTGACTGATGTAGTTTGTGAGTTAAATGATATTCTTGCCATATCAAAGGCCTTTCATAGCAATATTTCCAGTCATCTCATCTGGCATAAAAAACTATGTTCAGTTTTGAGAAGGAATGGACTGTGATGACTATCTGTTGTAAGCTCACTGAATTTCAATCAACAGGTAATTCCTCTAATCCCACTCTTCTGATGTTTATTGCATTTTAGAAAAGACCTGAGGGATCTAATGAACCAACACTTAATGTCATTGCTGCTTGGAATTCTGGTTATACAGGAAGAGGAATTACGGTGGGAGTTGTTGATGATGGAGTCAATGGCAGTCATCCTGACCTAAGAGACAACTATGTAACTATTGCTTTCCCATTTTCAATCTTTTTTTAATTCTATTCAATTTGAAAATATCATAAATGGAAAGGGACGTTACCTTTTCATCTTGATCACTGACTACTATTTATTTGTTTGTTTGTTTACTTTGCATTTTGTTTCTTCAGAGATTGGATTTGAGTTACGATTATGTGGCTGACAAACAGGTGTCGTTTGAAACATCAGTACCAGGGTAAGCTGATAATCCCTTTACACCCTAACATCAGTATGCATATTCTCCAAACTGTTCTCTATATATTTCCTGAGGCGTTGACAAAGAGAATTTGTTTAAAAATCAAGAGCTCTATTAGTTAGTGATTATTTCCTTGATTCTCGTGACCTAGATGTGTGATTCAGGGGTGATATAGTAAGGAGATGCTGGTCAAGAAAAAAGAAGGAGAGGGGGAGGGGTAGGGGCGAAAGAGTAGCGAGTTATTTCTAGGATTGAACGCAGGTACAAAAAGTGTGAAATTTACGAAAATTAGACAGACCATCGACCATCGTCAATTCAAGGGTTACAACGAAAGCCCCACCAAAGTTTATGAACTTTACGAATTTTACGAAATTTACGATGATAGGCCATTTCCGATTTCTTGCGGTTCAATGATCTGGTGCCGAAGTAAAGGCTGTTGCAGAAATTGGGTAACAGTTGCTTTCTGGTGGTGTAATAAATATGGTAGCAGTGAGAATTAGCGGCATACTTGAAGCCAAAATTGACTGAAATTATTTCAATCTGGTCCTGATATTTTCACCTTTTTTTCTGCAATTTCTTTAGTTGCAGTTCATTTGGGAAGATCATTTCCCTTCTTGTACAGGTGTATGCTTGAAGCCAATTACAAAGATTTGGGACAGTGAAACCAATCTATGATTATCTCTATTTGTGTACAGACATGGTAATAAATGTGCAGGCGTTATAGCTGGAAAACGCGATAATGGTTTATGTGGTATGGGAATCGCTTATGAAGCTAACATTGCAGGTAATGGCTAATATTTAGAATATAATCTAACCGTTTGACTTTAATGTATTTGTAACCCATTGTAACCAATACATTTAAGGAGTTACAATTGACAATTTCGAGAGGAAAGAATGTGAAAAAAGGACTCGTGCTAATCTCAGTAGTTCGTTCCTGGACTATGTAGTTACACTCTTAAAACCTGGGAGGACCAATTGCATACATAATTCCCAACATACACATGCTAGATATCACATAAATATCTTTTATTATAAAAATGTCCTTTGCAATCGAGAGAGCAAAGCGAACCCCTCAAACTTGTCCATATAAACAAATTGCACAACAGGGAAAATGAAAGAACCTCCCCAAAGTACCATCCTAGCTCATCTTTAATTTGATTTTAAACGGATATTCACCAGATATTCCTCAGGTTAAGCTCAGACAGAAGGTAAATTTGCAGACAAGTTTCTACACCCTTGATGTTTTATTACCCGAAAAACTGCATATAATTGAATAAAAGGGTTCAAGTAACACGGTAAAACGTTTTCCATGCTTCTATATTTGTATAATGCTCCTCTCGTGAGGAAAATACCGACTTTGAATCCCGTATTCTCTTACGTCTGGCATTCGCCTTTTTGATAACCGTGACAAGTTAACTAATGCAACAGAATCTGAAGCCTATTCTCTTGTGTCAGGCATTCACCTTCTTCGTGATATCCCTACCTCATTATCTGATAAGAGAGTGGCTGCGGTCTTGACGCACGAGCTAGGAAGTATTGACATATACTCCAACAGCTGGGAACCGCTGAACGAGGGATGGAAAATACAGGGTCTTGGACCGCTGATCAGTACAGCCTTAGAAAAAGGCATTAAAGAGGTATTGAACAACATCATCCCGTTCGGCTTACTAAATATTTCATCTTTTATCCACAATCTTCCCAGCTTTATAGCCTTTTTATTTTTGCTACCATTATTATATCCTTACCATTTTTACTACAATTACGCACGCCCCCATCGTCGCTGACAGTACCAAACACCATCATTGTGACCATTATCTTCATTTCCGTTGACATTTTTATTGAGAGAGCGGTCTGAGCGCGATCGCCTTCGTTCAACCATATGTGAAGGACGAACGAAGGCACTTAGTTGGTTTCCTTCTGTAAACACTTCGAGGTGGACAGCTTTTGCATTTGGACATTATTTTAGGTTTTTATCCAAGGTTTTTGCCAAAAATGATGGCTTGTTACATATTGTATACTTTCGACTAAACGAGTTTCTTGCTTGTAAATAGTCAACGATGTCTTAGTGGCTAATATATATATACCCTTCTTTTAAACAAAGGGTCGCAATAAAAAAGGTGCCATCTACACGTTTGCGGCTGGAAATGGCGGTTTAAATGGAGACAGCTGTGCATACAATTGTTTTGCGAATAGTATTTACACCATCGTCATCAACGGTGTGAATGAAGATGGATCCCGTCCCAGCTACGTAGAAGAATGTCCTGGAATCATGGCCACCGTGTACACTGGAGGAATTGTAAGTGGAATGAGTTAATACAGTTTGTAACCTAAAAATCCCTCTCTAAATAAAGTCTTCTATAAGTTTCGTTTCTTTCTATCCAACTTCCTGTACCTTTGGTGTTTGGATTTTGAAATGAGCGGAGTGAACACAAATACGCGTGACGTCGGTTACATTCCGTTCAATCGAGAATATGTACGATGACGTCAGACCCATTAAACTCTTTTGGCCTCACGCGAAATTTCCCAACTGAAGTTGTGACCATAAGTAGCTTGAATTTGATGTTTAAATTAAACGTTATCCCCGAGTTAATAATTTCTTTCATTCTCTATATCTCTGAAAATTTCGTATATCATCCAGGTAACTGCTGATAACGCAACCGGTTGTGTCAGCAATTTCGGAGGCACGTCAGCGGCTACTGCCATTGCATCAGGACTGATTGCACTGACCCTGCAAGCAAAGTAAGATTATTATGTCATAGAGTTAATATTCATAAGTAAGGATAGGCGGGTTGCACAGAATGAATGTATCCCCTCTCGTACTTAAGTCAAAACTTAGCTTGGGCTTGTGGGGTGAAACACTGGTTTTTAAGGGGGCATGTGACCTCCTCTTTGTCAAGAAAACTAACCAAGACTCGTAGTGCCGCTTTAACTCCTCCACCCTCTTGTCACTGATAAGTCCTGCCGCCTTAAGGAGTATGCAATGAAAACCACCATTCATAACACTAAACACAAAGCGCAAAACCAAAGGTGAAAAACAACTTGTAGTTTACACGGGGGTAAAGGTGCATATGTCCCTGGAGCTCCGTCGAGGTGTGTGAATTATTCTTGATGCTGCTAAAGAATCCCTCACTGCCCAGTCTTTATCGGTGTGGAAGGGTAAGTGGAACGACCCTTCTATGAGTGGGCGCTAATCGAGGGGATTGAGACGAATTCCACTCGCGTAAATTCGAGGAATCTCTGCTGGAGTTAAAGGTCATTAAACTCAGCTTTTTTCCTCTTCCAGCCCTAACTTAACTTGGCGCGACGTCCAACACGTTATAGCCAACAGTGCAAGAGCAGCGCCTGGTGGAGTCTGGCTTAAACAAGGCCACTGGCTGCAAAACAAAGCAGGGTTTCATATTAGCATGGTTTATGGCTTTGGGCTTATGGACGCTGACAAGATGGTGATGTTAGCAAGAAAATGGAAGGAGGTTCCAGAGCAAATGAAATGCGAGATCGAAGGCAGTGTCAAAGACATGTGAGCGTCAAGTTTCTCTTCTTTTTTTTTTTCGATTTTACTTTTTCGGAAGCAGAAAACTCACGTTTTAACGTGTGCAGACCTTACTTGCTTCCTACGTCTTGTTTGAATAAACAACAATTGTCGATCTCATTGGTGAACTATTGAAATCAATTATCTGAAAGTTGAGGTTTTTGAAAAATAGTTCAATGATGCTAACCCGTCCTTTCATTTCAGTGAGCAATCATCTCCGCAAATCTCACGAGTGAAAACACTCTCGCCCCTTTGAGTACCCCATGTCATTCTTAAAAACTGTCAACAGACGTTTGCCTAAAATTTGCGTTTAGCACCCTCTCAAATTCTCCTAACTTGATGTTGGGCTATTGAGCAACAAGACTTCCATTTTAATTATTAGAGGAAGCATTTTTACTGGCGGCGATTAACCTAGTCTCTTTGCAATTCTTCGTTTCAGAAATATCCCAGGAACGGTTTTAATAGAAGTGAAAGATTGTTCAATTAAATTTCTGGAGCACGTGCAGATCAGAGTCAATCTTAATTTCTCTCGCCGTGGCGACTTGTCCCTTCAGCTGAAAGCACCAAGCAACACAACATCTCCAATGACTCGAAAGCGGCCCAAAGACAACTCAACAAGATTGAGTGACTGGATTATTGAATCTCTTTTTCACTGGGGAGAAGACCCGAGTGGCAGATGGGAGCTTAAAATTGATTGTTTTGACAAGCCATGTCGAAGTTCAGGTGATCTATAACTTACTTTTAAAATGTTGAGTTGATGTGTGTTTGTCGGTGGTTTTGTTTTTGTTTTTGTTTCTTATTTTTCTCAATCCTGAGAAATACCAGATCAAGCTTCGTCTGTTAGTTGTACGTCAAATGCTCTCTTTAATTTGCTACCTGAAAATTTTGGTCGGCCTAAGTTACGTACTTTCAAGCTGAGCAAATCTTTCCTCATCGTGATGGGGAGGTGTGAGGCTGAGCGTTTCTTTTGCTCATTCACATGTTTATTTTATTGATTAAGCGAAAACTTAGTGCTACCTTTCCACGCCAGGGACCGCACATTTTTAGCCTTTAGTTACGGTATTTTGATGAAGTAAATCGTTCACATGTTCATAGATTCAGCTTTTATGGGGATACCGTTTTCCTGACTGCGGAATTGTTAATGTTTTGCGATTAATTGGCAATATTTCCGTGTTTATTCCATAGGTCAACTTCACAGCTGGTCTTTGATATTGTATGGCACTCCTTCAGACCCACTTAAATCAGGAAAAGGTATCTCAACTCAAATTTTGTCGAGCTAAAAACTTAAGAGCTAATGTCAGCATGCATCAAACAAACAGCGGCAAGTCACCCAAATTTGTTTTCACTCCTACTTTCATATTTTGTAGCCCAATATGTTCTAATAATTTTGGTGTAGTTTTTTTGTAAAAATTTATTTTAGTTTTCGAGAAATAATTTTTTTCGTTCTACCGCTCAATATGCAAATTTTCACCTTGAATATTACCCGAGTTGTGTGACCTCATGTGACGAATGTATTAGACCTACGGTATTTCTGTGAACGTAATCCTTTGTTTTATCATCTAAACTTGATCCCCTGTCGTTATTGAAGCTGTTAAAGAAATATTTATTTTTTGGTGAATATTTTTGTCCGACATACTTTTCCTATGCTTAAAAGAAAAGTTTTGTGGGGGGTCCAAATCTGCGAATGGGGGGTCCAAATCCGCTGTGACACCGGCACCTTCGAGACGCCAAAAGATATCGATGATTTTACAAATTGCCCCACTCACAGACCAAATCTCGGTGTTCAGTAGCAGATGTAGGGTGCCAAAAGAAATGTCCGGCCATGGTAAAGGCAAAAGCTGATAGGGGAATTGGAAAGCGTGTATCACAGATATTACTCAAGATGTCTGGAAAATTCGTACAATCTGGCTTCGGTAAGTAGGCTACTTACCACCGTGAGCAAAATTACGCGTGACGTCAGACTTAAGTTTCGATTGGGAATTGGTCACTACTACTACTACTACTATTACTACTACTACTACTACTACTACTACTACTACTACTACTACTACTACTACTACTACTACTACTACTACTACTACTACTACTACTACTACTACTACTAAGGCCCGTGGCTCCGTGTGGAGCATAGGCCATCGACGACCCCTCGCCATCGCACTTTGTTCTGGGCTAATCTTGCTGCTCCTGTCCAGTTTGTACTTTGCTGCTTGTGCTCTGCCTCAGTGTCTCGCCTCCAGCTGTTGCGAGGCCGGCCTCTCTTCCTCTTTCCCTGCGGGTTCCAGGTCAGAGCTTGGCGCGTGATGCTGGACGCTGGCTTCCTGAGGGAAAAAATTGGGAATTGGTCAATAGGCTACCAAAAATTCAGACAGAGGGGGAGTTTTCTTAACTAATGTCTAAACACTTGGTTGGCTTTCCGCCGTCTGGGGGGACGCGTAGTTATGCACACGGTGGTAAAGGACCCTTCCGCACTAGCAACTAGACACTGAAAAAACTTGTTTCTCTTCGCCAAAAATCACATCAGAATTTGTCCTTGCTAAATGTCAAGTGCGCTGCACGCATCAGCACCCCCGGGGGACCCCTTTATATAAGAGGGCGGGGGTGCGCGCCTGGAATTTCGAAAACGATCGTTATAAAATTATAAAAGGTACTTAAATCTTATCCTTGCGGGAGTGGCAACAATTAGCCTGTAAAAACAAGTATTTATGTCCTTTTCTGTCTTTTTCAATGCTTCCCTCGCTCCTACAGAGGATTCATATAAATATGAGAGCCGTGCCGCGTCTACATTGCACAGGTAGAAAAGGTCGTCCAGAATGAGTGTTTCGTTCTTTAATGAAAACCCCAATAAACTCACTCAGAAATGACTCGTTTCGAATAAATTTTAGGCTGGTTATTATGTGGCAACCGGTATGAACTCGTTCTTGTACAAAACTCATTCGGACATTATGTACATGGCCCCTAAAAGTTCTAATTCCCAGAGCATCACGCTTTGCTCGCCTGTCTGAATACTAAAAATTTCAGTAGCGTTGAAGGAACAACCCGATTTTAACTGCTTCGCTGCCGCTGAAACAACGATTAGTGAAGAAAGCACAGATTTTACTATTTACAATTCAACATAAACAAAAATCTTTATACATGGTAAATATTCACTTGTGTCGGTATCAGTTAATGCGTGACTAGCTTTTGATATAAATGAGGGAGGGGAAAACACAACGCAAAACCTGGGCTCCTGTCAAAAAGTAATACCCAGGCGTAATATAATAATCGAAACGGCTAATAAAATCATAAATAAACAAGGTAAAAGAGTTATGTTAGACTTTTTTACAAATTTTAGTGATTTATGCCAATTAACGGTGGCAACAAGTAGGCGCACCATGTATATTTCATAGTTGCTGTCAAGTAAATTTTACCGAACTTTGAGTTAGTCTCAAGATAGAACAACACAAATACACAAGGAAATTTTTACAGTAACTTTATAACCATCCTTTGGTCTTTTAAAGCTTGAAGGTCAATAGATTTTGTCATGTCGGTCATTGTTAAAATTGTCTTTGTTTTGATGCTTCTTTTCGACATTGGAAAAGTATGTCGGACAAAAATATTTCATTTCTCGAAAACTAAAATATATTTTCACAAAAAAACTACACCACAATTATTAGAACATATTGGGCTACAAACTACGGAAGTAGGAGAGAAAACGAATTGTGGGCGACTTGCCACAATATTTCAAATTTGTGCGATGGATGCTGACATCCTCTCTTAAGTTTTAAACAAACGACTTAAACTCGCTAATCAATCAATTAACGATCGAGGGAAAGTGTGCCCTTGGGGGGGGGGGGGTCAAGCAAAGGAATAGCCTCAGAGAAGAGTCAATCAGAGAAAGCTTTATGCTTTACTCTTTAAAATAAACTCTTTTTACAGAAATAATTAAAAAGTAAGTATTTGAGTTGTCATCAATTTTATATTGACCAAAAGATGGACACCATACCAAGACTTTTGGGGGAGCTCAATCAGAAAAATATCTTCAGATGAGGCAAATAGATTGTGATACATAAACAGTTACTCTACTGGGTAATCAAGGAATCAATGATGTTGATACTAGCTGTAACCATTTTTGCTGTTTTTATTTGATTTTTACAGTACCACGGGAGGACATTTTTAATTCCTCGGGACTGGGTTTATTTGTGATGCTATCTGCAATTTGCTGCATATTGGTATTGAGGCGTAAAATGAAAAGGAATAAAATTATTTGTTGCTGGAAGTCGCCCATGGCAGCCACATAATGGACATGAAGATTTAAAATAAATATGTGTTAATGGTCTTTCTGAAAAAATTGGTTTTCATGGTAGTTAGCAGCTGAGTTTACTCGTAACTTTACTTTTCCTTTCATACGATAGTTTGTATAACACAAATAAAAGTCTACTGCGGAACCAAAACACTGTCTCTTCCTTGACGTCCGTACAAGCCCACTCGAGGTAGATCTCCGTGTACCAGGAAATCGTGGCGAGTTTCCGTTCTCGCAAGCCGAGTGGTCTCTACCGAGTAATCCCCCCCCCCCCATTTTGTACGTTCCCGCGAAGTCAAATTTAGTGCGCGAAAACCTATCGTCACACTGAGTTGTCACATTCATACTTGCCCTTTGCTCATGGGACAACAGTTGACCACGAAAACACCACAATGCGTCTTTTATGTGCATTTTAGATTGTAATCATTCAATGTTTGCCTTCGCTAGACAATGCTCGAATGTAACCCTACTACATGCGAAAAAATATCTGATGATATGACTCCGTTTTTGACCTTTTTTTGTCAGTAGAAACCTCTCTCTCTATTGCTTTAAGCTATGGTTACAATGTATGATTATGTCACTGTTTCCCTGCTGTTTTCGAAATTTAAATCTGGTACGAAAAAAAAATTCCACGAATGTCTAATTTAGAAGCAGTGGTATAATTGACGTTAGATTTAACCAGACAGTCTTTCCTTGAGCTGCTTGAACGAGCTGTTGATGTTGATATCCATTTTTTGGCACGCTAAATTCCATTCCTTTCTTACACAAAGGACTGAAATACTTTCCCACCCCCGCGCTCAAACTCCAGCGGTTTTCCTCCTGTTTCGAAACGCATGCGTAATAGTGTTTCTCGTTACAGTCCCTCACATACCATCTTTTGTCACGTGAGAGCACGACGCATGAAGATTCATTAATGGCTTGTTTTGGTTCACCCTTAGCCCACGTGAATACAGCTGTTTCCATGAGCTCGGCGTTTATTTGGTCCGCGCTAAGAACGCTGACACCGCACATTAGATATTTCTTGAAGTCCATGATCGTTCCTACGTTCCTAATACCATTATACACTGGTCCATACACGGTGCTATCACTATAGACTCTAATTTTGTCTTTACTATTACCTACAGTAGAACAATTTTTAACACGTGTCTCAAAACCTTTTACGGTATAGCCTTTGCTCCACAAATGATTATGGAGGAAACGGGCTGAATGATTATTTCCGTCCAAGAAAATTATCGTTTTATTCATTTCACGTAATTGTCTGGTACTCGGCCAATTATCGCCAAACTTCTGTTTTAAGTCACTCGGTGTGAAGACCCTGTCACCGAAGTATTGCTCAATAACTTGGTTTATCGATGAATCTTCTTGGCGGGTTGTGTGGTCATCAAAAAGTATTTCAAGTACTTCATTCCGGTTTTCGTGTTTATTAGTCCAGTCCGAGATTTCTTTCATTCCATCAGCGAATTCTGCATCCCATGGGAAGCATCCAACTAACAAATTTTGGTTACCGTGGCTCATGCGAATTTTATCAAAACATTTCCAGAGGTCAATCTCCATATTGCGCACGCCCATGTTTAGCTGGTCCGTAAAACTAAACTCTTGATTGGCCAACGCGATACATACGTCATCTGTTTGATGTGGCCAATGACAATCGTCTAAATCCCCATATCCACTGGCTCTGTTGTTGTAGGAATTATGAGCTCCAAGAACTTGCACAAGATTAATGGGAATGTCAATTTGGAGCTCTCGCTGTGTTTTTAAAGCGAAAGAAAGCCAAGGAGAAATTCTTGCAGAACCGCGCACGCAAATACCATGGAATCCACACTTGGAGCAATTTGCTTGCACGCTGAACTGATCACAAGACTCTTCGTTGCTTTCCCGTTTCGATCGATCATAGTTTAGTTTTGCCCTCAACTGAATCCCATCTCTTACAACATTTTGATCCCTTATTGAAGCGTAAAAGGTTAGAAGGTTCTTCAACACTTGACCTCTAACGAAATCACTCCTGTTCTCGACCTCTCCGCTTAACGTCCGACCATTCGACGGGAACTGATTTGGTGCCATGCTTGCTTGTTGAAGATAAACAGAAAGAGCGGCCAAACCGAAAAAGCAGTATCGTGAGAGCGTTCTTCCCAAACTAACGCGTCGCACAGCCATTTTTACGACAATTTTAGGGATGATCACAATAATAGGTGGCAATATTATCTGCCATCAGGCAAAGGTGATACTGTTTTTGCAGGTACCTGTATTGAACCTGTTAACAGAAATATTGTCATTTGTTGCGAAGTTTCACCTTTGCTTTGTACCAGAGGTGTTAGGAACTGAATAGAGCCGATGCGTGTGCGGCTCCTTCCACGTGTTAATGAAGTTTGTCACCAAGAAACTCATTAACTTGAAGAGATCAATCGGATCACTGTCGGTGTTTGAGCAACCGCGTACCTACCCCTCCCCTAACCCGACAAAAGTCAACTGATGAGAATATCGGGTTGATGCTAGGTTGGGGAAGGGGTAGGTATGCAGTTACCCAGCAACCAATATTGATTCGATCAATCGTCCATGTTACTGATAAGAATCTCATATCCGGCCTAACAAAATTTCATGCACGCAATTGAAATCAAAGGTTAACGTGCAAAATGATTAATTCTTGGACCACACATAGAGAAAGAAAATGATATCAGTGAATGGAGACTTTTCTGGTGTAGAGGCTTAAATATAACGACTATTAAATAATCAGTTTTTTCTTTTCATTAACTGGTTGCTAAGTAATATGTTTTACTCGAACAATGAAGGCATTATCCGCGGATTGCGCTTTTGAAGATAGCGATTCCTTGAAAAAACGTGACTAATTTTTCATGATCTGGGGTTTCAACTTATAAGCACGGTTGCCTACATTAGCCAGTTTAAATTCCAAGAGTCAAAAAATTTGAATAAAAACTAATCATTTTATGATCTTTGATTTTCACCCATGACCAACTATGCATAACATTGGAAATACCCCTGAGGAAAATTTCTTTAGTTCCACCTATGTGGGTTTTTGTTTATGAAAGGAAGCTGTGATAGTTATTTAACAAAGACCAGATAACATGAGTACAACACAGAATGATAGAAATGACGAAATCTTATTGAGAAATCTGTCTTCACTGAAGATAGATTCGTTTAGCAGTAAACAAATTACGATAAATCGCAGCAATTACAAAACCAAACATACAAAACACATACACAAACCGTAAAACATGAGCTAGATCGAAGACCACCAAAACAACTTGCAAAAAATCGAATTATCTTTAATATCACGGAACAACTTATCACGAGTCAGAATCTAATCAAACGCACAGCAGAACCACCAGACTCTCTCCCTCGATGTGCTGATTCAGTGAACAAAATTGTTTATATAATGCTTAGAAAGGCAAGACCGCACATATCTTCCCAATGTATAATACTATGTCAGGAATTTTGTAATCAAACATCAAGGTCAACGTCGTCATCGTCGTCGTCGTCGTCGTCATCGCCATCGTCATCGTCATCGTCATCGTCATCGTCATCGTCATCGTCATCGTCATCGTCATCGTCATCGTCATCGTCATCGTCATCGTCATCGTCATCGTCATCGTCATCGTCATCGTCACTGTTGTTAATCGTCATCTTTTTCGTCAACGCCATCGTCGAACGCGATATTTGTTGACGTCGTCATCGTTATTGTTATTGCTGTCTGCCTACTTATCTTAGCGCTCCTAGGTTGAAAACAACGCCAATAACTGATAAGGGTTTGCGAAGAAGGCTGTGATTTTTACACCGAATTTAATATTCAAATCTGGCAGTTTCAACTATTTTAGACGTCATTCTCAACGGCTCAAATTACAGAATATAACACGCAAATGGCCATAAACGCTGTGCAACATGCACCAACCGCGAAACTCACAGCCCTTGGGTAGCTGAAGGCGTTCAAATAAACTATGGTGTGAAAGACCCTGGCGGCCGTGAAGACCCGTAAGCACCAAATTCCCCACGAGACTGGCATGCCAGAAAACATGTACAACCACGCTGTGATCATGAATATTGGAATGTTCTCCAGATCATTAAGATGAGCTCTGCAATGAAAATAGAAACTGTCGATGTATTTTTCCAATTTATATCCTATGTCATTAACTAAAAAAAAAACTTACAGTGATACCTTCTCACTCTTTCCACATCAGCATTTATTGGGACGGGTCTGCGCCTATAATCCTCTGGACTTGGAAACGCCTGTATTCCGAGAAAGAAGGGGAAAAAAGAAGGCCATAAATGACACAATTTTCGAGGAAACGAGACCCGGAAAGGGTTTCCTGAAGTATTTTCAAATGTGCAAATTTTTACGTCCACAACTAGGGAGGGCGGAGCTCAATCTCCTACCCCACACAGCCTACCACGTGCTTTTCCACGTTGGAAAGAAGAAGCTTTATGGAAATGAACCTACCCGACACATGAAAAAACCAGCGAGAGGTTCCTTCCCTCTCCCCCTCCCTTAAAAAATATTTTCACAAAATGTACGGTAAATCAGCAGGACAAAGGCCAACAGAAGTTATAAATTCCAGGTTTTTTTTCGTTTCAAGTCACAGTTTACGTCAAGACTCTTATGCGGATGCGTGAATGCAAGTTGTTACACGTAGGCTTCAACAACTTCTTGATAAGCACGTGAAAAACGGAACGAAACACATGGTTCATTTAACGTCTTGCCAAACGTCATTTTAGCCAATTATCCGCTATAATATTAGGCAAAGATCGCAATAGGCCTGCGAAACATTGTTATCTGACAGATTATGTGTTGGTTTTCCTTGAAATCCTCGACTTTTTCACTCGTGATATGTGCTCCAAACCTATATTTTGCTCAAAAATAGCTTAGAAATGTGAAAATTGCTTGAAGTTGCTGGAACCGCATAAAGTTGCTCCAAACGCCAAAAGTTGCGAAGCACAATCGCCATAGGCCTATTTACTGACAACAATTTTTATTTAAGAATCACCGAAATAGATTCCCTTTTAAAATAAACGCTTCTACATGCATCTCTGTAAATTTCACACCTGTCAGTTCCAGTGGAGAGCACATAATTTTCTTTGATCACCGTTACATACGGGGAATCAGCGACGTAACAATATGTCACGCAACATGTCACAGTTCGTAAACACCGAAACTGAAATATCGATCGACAACTGTGGAATGCGGAGCTTCGTCACATGTTGTTTGCGACTCAATCCAATCCAAGCAATCATTAAATGTTTACAGAACAGCATGATATCTTTATCAACCTAAGTTTTAAACCTTAAACTAAATTCGTATTCTTTCAGTTTCCAATTCCTGTTAGCTTGAAAGTTTTTGTCACTACACAATGACATGATAACAACTGACGGGTTTTCTTACCTTGTTCGCAATACGATGCCTCGCGGTTACAAAGGACATTACCCAAGTCTTAAGCATTAGTATGGCGCCATAAAAAAGGTAAGCCGATAGGAAATGATCATCCACCGAAAGCGTTACCATTTCCCGACTGTCAAAATCGCCGTGTTCGATAATTATCGCGGTTGTAAATGAGTTTCGTAACTCTTCCACAAATCACGCGATCACGCAACGCGACAGAATGATTAAGCATTCATTTGACCACAGGGTTCCCCACAAAAATTATCTCTCCTCCTTGGCCAAAGAAAACAGAAAATCAAGAACTTTGCTAGAGTCAAATGAGAAATAATTTTGTAAATATATCTCTCATTTATATTACACTTCATTGTTTTGAAATTTTGTCTTTCAGTTCAAATTCTGCGTGCACCGTTTCAATCTGTCTGAGTTTACGAGCGGTTCTCTTGCTCCACATGCTAATTGAGGTAAGTCGAAGGCGATCAGTCACTTGGAAATAATCTCAAGATGATTTCGCAATGTGTGTGATTTTTGGGTGATGTTGCTAATTTTGGTATCCCAGCCGGTAGGGCTCCAGCACCTGAGCGAACCAGCCCGTCAGCTGGTGTTGTCGGAGAAGCTAAATCTCCCTCTTAGTAAACCCCAACCCCACCCCACCCCCCTCACACAACACACTCTCACATACTACACTTGCCCCGAGAGTTAAAGCCCCCTAAATTCTTCTACACTAATGACATTTTTTTATTTGTCTGATGTGCTATAGGTTATTTTGGTTATCAGAGTAAATAGAAGTAACACTACACTGTCTGATCTTTTGACTCCGGGTTCTGTAGTGACTCAAAGAGGCGATCCCGATTTTTACAAAATCCCATCGAAAAGCGCATTCTATAATCGCTGAGCTGGACATAACTGGTAATGAATTAATTTTAACGCTTAAAAGAGTCCTCTTTACAGTCACTGCCATGACTCAGGTAAATTATGATTTGATTTTTTTTTTCATTTTTTGCAGCAATGACGCAAAATAAATGCATATGGATTTAAAATATTTCAATCATTCTCTCAATGTTAAGAGATATACGATAATGCTCCTAATTGTTATGAAATCAAACTGAAAAAGATATTCAGGTAAATGAACGGAACTATGGTAGTACGCAGAATTTTTATCAAAGTGGAATGTAATTTCGACAAAATTTAACCGGAAATGATGCATAAGGGTGGAACTTGTGAAACGGAACTGTTGGGGAAATTGCATTGTTTTGTACATTCTCGATGTAATCTGCTGTTTCATCACAAATTAGTAATCATAGACATAAATAACTGCGGTAAAGCGTTAGAATTCAATAAATAATTTATTTTTTAATTTTTTTTTTTGACATTTCAAAGATTTTGTCATTAAATACCACTCGTAGAAAAAGCTTTGTACATTTTAAATGTAATCTGTTAAAGCATAAATAAAAATAACTGTGAAGGATGCTTTATCCTCGTGTGTATACATTAGGCTTTGTCCATAGGGAAACGTGCAGGTAGACTTCGCATGATAAATTATCTGAATTTAACACTACACATTTGCGTGTGAATCGTTTGTTGTGCTAAAACACATCAAAAAAACTAAAGTTTGTTTTAAAAAATAGAGAGAGTTTTCTCATTCTTAGGATTATCTGCAATATTGATGGTACAAATTGTCTTTCCTTAACCAAAGTGCAGTGAAAGTTTTTGGTTAAAAGTAATCCCAAAATGTTTTCTCAAAGTCAATAAATACATATGTCTGGTTTTTTTTGGTTAAAAAACGCTTCTTCTCTTCCACTCTGGTTTCAACTTGGGTTTTCAGTCTTCTATGAAGATCTTTGTTCTACAGTTTTTCCGGCTTAGAGAAGGCTTCTGTCCTTGCTGTAACGCCAAATTGTTAATTTCAAGCTTTCCCGCAACAAAATCCTCTTTGATCAATGAGATGAACTTGTTGACTGTTCAAGGCTAGTAGCAAAGTTCTGGTAGACATTGGCAGCTGTTGTTTCCTTTTAGTAATCTTGAAGATAAGGATATTAGCAAAAAACAGCCCAGAGTTATGATGACAACACTGTACTCAAGCACAACCTCGTGCATTGAATAAAGCCTTGTGATGCGTGAGCCTTCCATCGACGAACTTGTATGGCTTGAAGCTGTAATTTCGGGAATAGACATGATAATTTTTGCGAGTCCTTTTTTGATGTGAAAATTCTTTCACCTTCAGCGCCAAGTCGAGTTGTTACTTCGGTGAGGTATATTTATCAAATGAATTTTCCTGTTTAATAGGCAAACATTTATTGAGAGGAAAGCGGTGCTGTTGCAACGAGATTGACGTAACATCCGGTAACATGATACATCCGGTGAAAATTATCTGGAAAGCTTTTACACCGCTTTAGCCTGATTAGAGCACTTGCGTTGACAGAACTTGTCATCATAAACCAGTAAATCTTTTTAGAAAAACTTGTACGAATTATATTTGAAAATATGATAATTTAGCTGCCATGTGGGGATGCACGAACAAGGTGCTATGAAAGTCAAAATTCCATGATTCAGATTGCAAAACGATTTCTGTCAATATGGTATCTGCATTGTGTTTCATGTCCATGAAAGAACCAGGTATTTCACAAGTTGTTGGGAAACATGCCGCATAACCATTTAATCCTACATTTTTGCCATGAAAACGTGATTCACGCTTTTTGTAAAAAAAACCAGCACGATTTAACTTATGTAACTCAGACGGTTATGTTAAAAGTTCATTTGGTTCTGGGCAAAATGCCTGCCTATCGAACTATCTGATGAGTGATAAAAGGAAAGTCCGTTTAAATTTCTCATCCACTTAATTTGTTCCATCATAATTCTAAAGTAGCGAAGACAAAAAGCTCTTTGTTTTCCGATTGTTTCACATTACAAGTATCTCGAAGAACGAGTAAATCCTTCAGAACTTTATCAGGGGAATCAAGTTTCGCCACAGCTAGCCCGTGCTCAAGGTCATGCACTTGTCTTAGCTTATTAAAGCTAGTCATGGCTGACAGAGCGAATTGTTGAGTTACTTTATTCTTCATTCTGTTTAGAAATAACTTAAGCCATCCGACTTACCGCAAACAACCATTTTCAAAGCGCTCCACGAAATTTAGGGTTGCAACTGATGTCAATGAACGAAGGTGGGGGGGACGTTTTCACACATGAGTTTACAATGTCGAAGGTGCTCGCTGTTCGTCTCCTTGAAGTTCTCTCAGAAGGTAAATGAATTACCTTCTTTCTTTAAAATAGGAGCCAATATTTTCATTTTGTGACACACACATTTTTTTCTCTCTTAATCTTTTACAAGGTTTATTTTTAACAAGTTCTTCAGGAACATGCATCAATTATCTCCTCTCAGTTATAAGTTAAGGGATCAAATCATTAGCATTTACTCTCTATTATTGTTTTGGATGACCTCTCTCCTGTTCAACCCGTTTTTCCCGAGCTCACCAGCTGGTATTGACAGCTGAGCTGCAAATGGTACAAAACCAGAAATTGTGAAATACTTGCTGAAATTAGTTTTAAATCCAAGAAGATTTTCTAACCATCCTTAAGTTCGAAAAACCGCTAATTCCGCAGCATTTCTCCGGTTTCCCTCTTCTGGCCGGCCACAAGATTAACTTAAAACGGACGGAAACAAATTTTTTTCGGAATAGCTAATTTTCTGCCAGAAGTCTTACAGCTGGAATAATGGGCCAGTGTGAAATCGCGACTCAGTTGGTAGTGAACTGAAGTGCGTAGTTTCGTAGGCTTATCTTCACAGTTTTTACACTTTTCCTTTTCATCTTTATCGCGGCTTTTCCGTGGTAGCCGGCTTCGTTCAGTCAGAAGTCACGTCCATAGAAGTGATCACGTGATCACGTCAGGTCAGCCAGCCTGTCATGATAATTTTATTAGTCTATGTAGAACAACCTAAGATCTCCCTTGAATTCAGAGCTGCCCTTCAAACAAGGCCCACAACTAACGGAATTTCAGTTTTACGAGGAACGGATAGAAATTTGTATATCTCTCGGAAGTTTGTTTTGGCGTGTTTAGAAAGGTCTTGAAATAGGGCAGGCTTTTCATTTAAGGCAAAGCACTGAAACACTGTAAAAATGCAAAACTTAACGTAAATTACATGTTTGCTACGTCATTATTTAATGATCAAGGATGCTGAAGTTCTTAACGCAATAGATATAATAAGAACTTTGCCGAAAACGTTTTATTTTGCTGGGGTTGAGTAAATGTCTCTCTTCTAACGGAATGTTTTAAATAAATGTTTCCGCCGTCTGCCTGTCTGTCTTGAGTGGTTTTCAGTATCTTTCATATGTATTTTGCGGAATAGGGTCTAAAAAGCAAAGAAAAGCTAAGTAGAACTGTGGTACCACTGAATAAACAAATTAAGCTTCATTTTTAGCGCGATTTTCACGCGCGGGAGTACACCTAGGGATTCTTGGCAGGGGTCCAACTGATCAAATCTCCAATTCCTGACTCTATTTCAAATTAGAACATGCCATTTTCCACATCTGCGGTCAATCCTGGTTCTAAAGTCCACGTACGTTTTCATACGTGGTATTTGAATTGGGCACTTGAGCTCAAGAGAACATATTTATATTCTCTCGTTTGAGCTGTGTTTAAAATTCACATCGCTTCCGAAGCCGGTAGGGAATTAAGTTCAGATGATAAATTTTGCTCACTTTTCTAGTTCTTAATTTTAAAGAAGATACCTCTAAGGCGTAGAAAAACCCTCTAAAATGTTCCCCCGCTCCCAGTCCTCCCTGCGTGTGGCTTTGTAGCTCAGTTTGTAGCATCTGGGAGGCATGCGTTTGAATCACGTCAAAGCCTGAATCTCTGTTTTACTTTTCTTTTCTTCTGCAATGGAAGGAAATTGCAGCTTATCAGCGAGAATCATCGCTTTACTTGCTTTTCTCTCCCTGTTATTCGTTTTGCTTCGAAAAGACAAAAATATTTGGTCTTAACTGGCTCAAAAGCTATGACCTACCTAAATAATGACCCTCTCCTCCCCCTTGCACTTGTGGTAACCTTTACGTGATGAGCGGTAATGGACATTACAGCTCCTAATGGAATTGTTCTCAGACCTAATCATTTTTCAAGTAATCCCTTTGGAAGTTTATTGTTTCTGAGTATTTTTTTTTTTTGACTGATTAGGAAGGGGCATAATCCCCATAAAAGAAAAAATCAATTGATAATCCAACTGCCATTGAAGTTTAAGAGGATTACTTCACTAGATGATAGAAATTTAGCACGCTGCGAATCAAGCATTAAGACTTTCGCTGAAAGAGCTCTTGGTGAACTTTTCAACTAAAATTTGCGATTTAAGACCCTCAATTGCAGCAAAAAAATCATCAAAGATTCGAACTAAAAGACGCTTTTAAATTTCCTGCCTTGAAAAAGTAGTTGACCCTTATATCAGTCGTACGCCGACGCAGTCATCAGTTGTCATGACAACTAAGTACTTTGTGGGAACAAGACCTTTGCTTTGAGGCATAAGTGGCCTTTACGTGACATTCCCCTGTGAAAAAAGAAGATATCACGAGATTTATTGGATATCAATTGAGTCATGAAGATCAAGCGATAAGAGAACCAGTTAGAAATTTAAAGGGGATTACATTAAGGACAAGTTTATTGCCTTTATTTCTTGATTTGCTGAAGGAAAATACGTCATTGCTCGTGAAAACATAGAAAATAATTTTAAAATTTTGCTGAAAAGCCAAACTTTTTTCTCAAGTCTTTTTTGTGCGCTTTGTGGAACAGCGCGAGTGTTGTTTTTTTTTTTTAAGAAAACTGACTGACTGCAAAAATCTACGTGTGATGGATATGGATCAATATTTGGTTACCGACTGTTTAAAGTGCCAGCCTTTTTAGTCTTTGTTCTATCACTGTTTACTTCAAACTGCATCACTGACAATTCTTGATCTGTGTGACCACTGAAAATAATAAAGAAAGTACTTGACAATTAAAGGTTACACTAAGCATTGATAACAAACGTGCACAAGCGTAGCTACAGCCAGTATCTTTCATCCGATCAGTGTAGGCGACTTTTTAAACCTTAAAACTACAACGATCTGATTGGTAATTCTCCCTCCTTAACTAACAATTCCTTTTAAATTTTTTACGAGAATTTGGAGTTAAATCACGATAACAACGTCTACCTGATAAATTAGAGTATTCTCATCACCTGTTTGCTGGATATAGTATGGATATTATAGAGAGAAGTCGCATGTTAATCACCTGTGGAAGTTAAAGGATTTAGGTTTATCTTTATTGCAAGCGAGGGTTGCTGTTGCTTCTTTATAGAGAATCATTCCTCTGCCGCATGCGCATGCGCATGCGTAAAGGCCAGCACATTCCTTACATGTGCGCATGCACATTTTCGTCATAACATCTTACTGTTGCTGCGACGACACTTTTCCTTCAATGTTCTAGGCTAGATTCTCAGACTTGAAAGTGGTTGTTCTTCTACGCAATGATTTATACATTTCCCCATCGGCACGTGTTGGGAAAAGTAGTCATTACTAATTCGTTAAAAATCTCCTTATCATAGGTGACCGGTCAGAACATAAAATGAAAAGAATGTTTCTTTGTAATCGTGTGACCTTAGGAATTACAGCATTTATCTAGTGATTAAAGACCGGCTTTTTTCTTTACTTCCGGTATAGTACATAGATCTTTGCCGGATACAATGACGTCAATTGTAAATCTGATAAGCCCACGAAAGCTTATATGAATTTAAACAGAAAAAGAAACAAAAAAAAGAAAAAGAAATGCAACAGGCAGCAACACGCCCACGTTTAGCAACCTCTAATTCTGTTTGCTAACGGAAATGATTTTCATTAAGGTTCACAGCCTCTCACCGACAAACACGTACACTGATGTACGCCCGTTAGAGTACTGGAATCGAGCGAACCTTCCATCCTCTAGAAGTTTAAAAGAACGCAATTAATTTCAGTAGCGTCATATAGGATGGCCCCCGAATGCCATATAATCACTTTGCAATCTTTTGTTAGAAAATAACTTCAAGCGAATGATCGTGTATTTGGTATGTCTCCTAGTTTTAGAAGGAAAACTGCATATTCACTTTATTTTGCTAGACACTTTGATCTCTCGTATCATTCTAGGCTAGACGTGGTTTCTGAGGCCTTTCTTCATGTTTAGGCAGTTTGAAAAGATACAGAACTCTAGAAAAAAAAATTAATCTTTCAAATCGGCACCCTTAAATCCCATTCAGATTTCATTCAACTTATCATTCTTGTATTTCTAATGTTAGACAAGTTACCAAGCAGTCCTACTAATAGCGTAGCTCCATCTTCATAAACTTTTCATACATTGACATAGATTTTTTTTCGTTTTTTCACAAGCGTGGGACAAGGAAAAAATTCTGAGTTCCCATGACGAATCGAACCTCAAACCTTCGGATTCCGCGCTCCGATGCTTTACCACTGAGCCACATAAACTCCACGGTGAGCGAAGTTCATATGACACCCGTCCTGCATGCTGCTAAGATCAACAATGTTGATAGCGTAATATTTGTAGATAGAACTTGTCATAATTCGCTCAAGCTGGCGAAAGGCTGACGCTGAAGACGTCAGCTTCAGAAACTATTTACATTATAAACTTATTTTATTAAACCAAATTATCTCGGCGTGCACCAAAGTTTCTTTAGAAAATTACCCACTTTTCTACGATTTTGTTTCTATCCTGTCAAGACTCGATAAATACGAAAAGTTCGAATCAAATTCGGTAATCGAAAATGGTATATTTTTTAAGAAAAATATAATCTCAGTGGGGAAAAATTAGCTCAAGATGTTTGTGTTGTTCAAGATACCTGGTGAAACTTACACAAACAAAGCAATATTTGGAAATATAAGCTGCTGACCATTTACCAATCTTTCAATGATCGTAAAGTTATTGTAAAGTTAGCAGAGGGTTGAAGCAAATTCTTTCACTTTTAACACCCGATAATTGGTAACAAATCAAAGTTAACACACTAAGAAATGCAAAACCCCAGCGAGGATACCCAATGGAACGATGCCTTACGTCGACACGGAATTTTACCCGAAAAAGAAGTTAGTGAAGATCAACTTATCGATCTTGTAGAAGAAACTGTCCAACAGAAAACAGGAAATGTAGTGAAAGCGTATGAAGATATGACTTTAGAGGAACTTGAGGAACTGGAAGATGAAGAAGATGAACGTGTTTTGCTACAGTATAGGTAGGAAATTTTTTTTGTACGGATTTTATTTTCTTATCTCGGCATGAAGTGGACGTGAAAGCTATTGCTGTCAATGACAATCTTGCTTTTACCATATAAGGCAATGAAAACTTGAAGTATGAAAATGGTAAACCTTAGCTGATTCAAAATAAAAATACCTTGTGTTAAGGAGTTAAAGACAGATACTTGCCAATTGTCAGTTCAGTCAACAAAATAACTTTTTTTTTTTTACTCTTACCTGACGTTACCTGGTTTTTCATGTCAAGAAAACCCTAGATGGTTAGAAATTTCACCATTCCCGACCTGTCTCAGAGTTTTCAGACTAAGGAAGTTTTGGAATGGAAGACATCCCTGACTTTCTGAGATGGTTGAAAATCAGAGGCATTTATATGTATTTATTACATATTATATTATCGCTGTGATGAACCACACAATGCTTTTGAAATTCATTTGTTTTATAATTTTTAATGAAAACAGTACATGTTTCAGATGAAGCATCATCCATTGTCAGTTTTTTAATGAGAAACAAAATGAAATTATGCAATAAATAGTATAATAAAGTGAGATGTTAACAAGAATAATTAAAAAAACCAAAAAAAAAGTGAAACTATTTATTCTAAGGGAGACTGATTAGTTTGAAAGGGATAAATTAAGATCAGTGTTTGACCTGCGAATTTAAAGACAGCTGCGCCCAAAGGATGTGCATGGCTTCCTTAATTTTCAATTGGAAGCTTGTGGAAGCAGAGTCCAGAATTTTAAAACAATCTTCTGAACAAAGTGAGTGACAATTTTCAGAACCTCTAAGGTACTTATATTTTCTCTGCATGTCCCAGATTTCTGCAATGATCAGAGATTATTGAAGATAAGAAAAACTCATACTTTTACTGTTGGGGACATTGGTGATAATTTGACCTTGTTACCAATTTCCTTATATTGCTTGGCTCCACTGCTCATGAGTCACAAATGAAGTGATGAAGTGGTGTCTATAATCTACCAAGACAAACATCTGGTACTCTCCCAATTTACATCCACAAAATCTGCAATAGTTGGGAAATAGTGAAATTACCAATCATCTAGGATTTCCCTACATGTGAAAACCAGCTTTTACCTAATAAATATCTTAAACAGTGTATTGAAATTCTCGATGTTGTAAAGTGAGTTTTATTATCAGAATGGTTCAAAGTTAGTCCTAAGACTGGTTGACTACAGACTCCCTGTTTACTGTTTACCTATTGAATTTTCACCTTTTTCTTCTATCCAATTGTTATAATCTGTGTTAATCTCTGAGGTTTACATAACTGATTATGCATGTAAGAGAACATACTAGTAGTTTGTGTTTCTCACCCACCCCTCTCTTGTGAAAGTGGAGGCACTCTACCAGTTTGAAGGATACCCTAGGTGGCATGTAGAGATGAGTCCTTGTGGTACATCTTTGGGACAGACTGTATTGTTTAAAGTGACTGCGACTCTTTTTCTTGTTAGAGTCATAGGTATGACCTTAAATCATTCTAAACCCTTTAACTCCCATGAGTGATCAAGACAGCATTTCTCCTTACAATATCAATACAATATCAACTAGATAAGTGATGAGAATAAAGAAAAATAACAATTTGGAGATAATTAGTTGATCCAGTACTAAATTCTCTAAACTAACATTAAAAGAATTGTATGGTTGACAGTAAGGAGAATTACAAATTTGATCTGGGAGTTAAAGGATTAATTTAAGCATCTTGCTCTTTGGATACAAAATCCTATAAACATTTTCATTAAAACTCCAGGGACACAGGGCACTGAATGGTATCTAGGATTATTCTTTCACCTGTACATCTTCTTAGAGGGAGTCACCATTTCTCTACATTTGAGTATTATTGTTTTTATTTTTATTTATTTAATTTGTTTTATTTGAAGACAACAAAGATTGGCAGAAATACAGAAATTTCAGAAGGCATCCAAATTTGGTGATGTTAGAGAGATTTCTGCCCAGGACTATGTGGACGAAGTCAATAAAGCTGGCAAAGGAATCTGGGTTGTTCTTCATCTCTACAAACCTGGGTATCCTTTTGTGATCCACATGTGTCAATTTGTTATAAATGAGGATCAGTCTCCCTTTGATCCTTAAGAGTGACTTGTATAGAATTTCTCTTCACAGTGTCACCTTTGAATCACACAGTAAGGTCATGAGAATGGAGAAAATGATCAACAACCAAAAAAGCCCTTGATTGTTAAACAAATTCTCCTTGTCAACATCTTAGGAAATGTATAGAGAACAGTGTGGAGAATATGCATTATGATATTAGGGTTTAAAGGATTGAAAAAAAAAAACTTGCATCTACCATGGAATATTTTGTGGACTAGCATGGAGCACCTTGCGTCTATCATGGAATACAATGTTACAAGTATAAGAAAGCAATTAACATTAAAATGTTTTTCCCTTAAACATCCATATTTTAAAAAATAACCATGGTAGAAATGTTATCGTTTCCTCTCAAAAGAAGCAACCTTTTACTTGTAAGAAAGATAAACTGAAATCTTTAAGTCCCAAAAGTGATTAACTTGTAACTTCTCTCTATAATATCCACACATTATCCAGCAAGCAGGTAATAAGAATACTCAAACTCATCAGGTAGAGGTTGTTATCTTGATCCAGCACCAAATTCTCAGAACTCATTGACAAGGAAATGGGTGGCAGTTAGACAGGAGAATTAACAAACAGATCTTGTGAATTAAAGGGTCAGCTGAAAATCAAGTCTGGGACTGCTGAACATGTCTTGAGATTAAAAAAATATGATTATTATTTTTTACAAAATATGCATTTAACAGTCATATCTTCCTTAACCTAGCAAAGTGTTCCATTATGTACACTAGTAAATCAGTTCCTCACGCGCCTGGCTGAGAAGTTTCCAACCACAAAATTTTTAAAGAGTGTATCAACAACGTGTATACCAAACTATCCTGACAGACATCTTCCAACGATATTTATCTACTGCGAAGAGGACATGAAGAAACAGTTTGTAGGACCTTTTGCATTTGGAGGAATGAATCTTAAGATTGAAGGTAAGTTGTATTGAATAAAAAGAGAGAGGCAGAGATCTGATGATAACTGAATTCTCTGGTACTGTGCAGTAGTCTCTCTTTAAATTTCAGTGCTCTGAGCTATTGGTTTTTTTTTTTTTAACTCTTTACACCCTCACATCAGTATCAGTATTCTCTTTACTGCTCTCTATACATTTCTTTAGGTTGTGATGAGGAGAATTTGTGTAACAATCAAGAGATTTGTTATTCTTGTGACCTAAGTGTGTGATTCAGAGCTGACATTATATGGAGAAATTAGATGCTAGTCACTCTTAGGTCAAAGGGCATATTACAATCCTAAATGTCTCCAGTCATGATGGCACAACTATAAACAAATCAATTTATGTTCCATATTTATTTCTTGTTTAGTGATTAATATTGGTGCCATATCTCTATACTCTATATTTATAGAATTGGAATGGATGTTGGCTGAAGCTGGGGCAGTAAAAACAGACTTAGAAGAGGATCCACGTAAAAAGAATAAAGTTCATGATGTTATGACAAGTTCTTTGCAACAGATGAACGCTAAGGATTCAGATAGTGATGATGATGATGATGAATAGCATCCAGAGAGCAATTACTGGATATATTTACTTTACTTCCCAACAAACTTAAAGCTTCAACGTCCCCCCTGCCTTGGGTAACTCACCAGCATTTGACCATGGTCTGTGCCTAGGGGGGTGGGAAATCTGAACCTTGCCCTGCTGGGGTGGGGTGGGAATACAAGTAGAATGCAATAATTGAATCTTTAAATGTTGAGGTGTTCAAGGTAAATAGTTTCATTTTGCAAGTGAATGGCTCAGAAGAAACGGTCTACAAGGTCTGGGTTTCAACACTTTGTCAATGTGTAGAAGGTCACTGTCACTGATATGGCCTTGTACAAAAAAATTGGCTCGGGCATTGAAACACAAGCTTTACCCTGAGGGGGGGGGGGGGGGGAGGGGAGATATTCGAATAAATTTATGGTCAAAAGTTCAAATGCCCAAAGCATTGCTTGGGGGAGGGGAGGGAGAGGAAATGTTGGAGCTTGGAATTGCAGGATGCATTATGTCAGATATTTAAAAATCATCTTGAAAATTATCTCAAGAAACAAATTTAAGAAATCCCTGTTTATTTGATTAAGCACCCAACCTCAAATAAGGAGGAGTTTTGATTATTACTTCATGACTCACTTACAATCTCTTAATTCACTGCCTGTGTATAGACATCTAAACATTTTGTTATTATTTCTTGTTTTGTTGCAAAGTTAACTTAATACTTGCTGAAAATGGTGGGGATCAAATAAGCACCCAAGTTTGAAAAAGTGCCCTCCTCAGATAAGTGCCAGCTCCAAAGGTTCAAACATTTTATGAGTGCCCAGAGCACTTTGCAAGTAATTACAGTATCTACCTATCACTTAATTTTTTTAATAGACAGAAAAGTGGTGGGGAAACTTTTTTTAATTACTTAGAGGGGACAAATAAATGAGCTAAGGAGAGTTTAAAAAAAAAAGGCTCTTTTTTAACCTGTGTCAGTTGTCCTCTTCACAACCAATGTTAGCAATTGTGCTCTCAATTTTTGGCAGTAGGAGGCCTGGGTACAAGATTTGGGAAAATTCTTTTACCACTGACTCTCTCCAATAAGTCGAAATCATAAACACAGATTTCAAGATTTTTCTTTGGTTTTATTGCAAATATTTGCTTTAAAAATACATTAACAGTTTTTTGCCAACATATCTATCTTCTCTGGCTATTTACAATTGATCATTGAAGATCATGTACATTGAGGAGAATTCCTCCTTAAATAATTTTGTCACTGTATTATTTGGGTCAAATTGTTACTTCTCACAGTCCTAATACGTCGTGGTACTTACATTAAATAAACAATAACTTTTAACTTTTATTTGAAATAAGTTTCCACCTTTGAAATGATATATATGACTATTAACTTGTAATTAAAACTACAGATTTGGAAACAAAAATTACCGCTACGTAAATCTTGTGTCTTTATCGTGTTTAGTAAAATAAAATTAAGTTAGATTTCTCGAGAAAAAAAATAAACTGGCGCGCTAGATAGGAGGCTTGTCGTGTTCCAAGAACGCATGAGAAACGCGTCTTAAACGCGATAGAAACGCGTTACAAGGACAATCTGGCAAAGCCACCCAACCCTTTCACTCCTACAAGTGACGAGGAACTAATTTCCTCTTACAGTATCAATACAATATTGAGCAGACAGGTGATGAGAATAAAGAAAAATATCAACAAAAAGAAACTGATTTGACTTCACACCAAATTCTCGTAACTTACATCGATGGAAATGTAGGTAGGTGAAATTGTGGAAGTGAAAGAGTTATTCTAACGAGCTGATGTATCTGCAAACCGTGATAAATAAATAATGTAATGTATTTCTGTACGATGAACCGTGAGTCATTAAATAATATTGTTATAGACAACTGAGGATTTGAGTAACTAACGAGGTAAATGAGAGTATTTTAAAGTTCTGTTGATCAACAAAAGTATATCGCAAGATCTGGCGATCGAAATGATAAGGTCATCTAGACTTAATAAACCTTATTCTTATCGCCGCGTATTTAATTCGTCGACTGGCAAATTCAAAGAGCTGTTGTTGTAACCAATTCTTAAACACTTGCTCTTTTTGTTAACGGTTGAAAACCTAAAAATGTCTCTGCTTGAAACAACGGAGGCTAAGTGCAATTTCCCATTGACCAATCACCAACTGATATCTTAAACAGACCAATATATGAGACCTCATGAAGAAGAAACGTATTGCCAATGCTAAGCGCGGGAAAACGACAGCCGGTGAAATACGCAAGGAAACGAATGAAACGTACTTGAGAGAAAACTTTGCTGCTAATTGGTTACAAATACTGTAAACTTGCTCTGATTGGTTGAATATTTTTAGCCAAAGAGAGCTATGCAAACCTAATCTAATCTAACGCAGACGCACAAAATAACGCAAGAAAACTATAAGTAGACTATCACCGTTTGGGATAACATTTCTAACATGTCCGAATTTTTTACGAAAGCTCCATCAGTGCTTACTTGTTCTTACATAGTAAGAAAAACATCAAAATTTTGCAGAAAAAGATCTGAATTAACGGGCTGTACCGCCCAAGCTTTTACAAGGAAATTAATAACGTTTCGCGACTCTTCGGCTGAAAAAGGAGACACCCAAATTCTGACACTATATATTCGTACCCGGACAAACCTTTTTCACTAAACCGACAATAGCTACCTTAAACATTCTGACGATGCAACACAGGTCACAACACAGCGGTCGAACGTCAAGCATGCGCAACGGAATCAATTCTGGCCGGCCGCGCGCCAATTCCCCGCGCGAAATTTCTAAAGAAAACATTAAGAACTAGCGCTGTCTCACAGCATAAGCGAAGGATAATTGAGACGTAAATAGAAATTGGTCAAAAAGGAAACAAAGATTATCAAGTTTATTTACAACTCTTTTTCGAGCCTCACCGAAAAAAAGTTATACGTCTTTAGAGCGCCGTGACTTACTGGCTCGTGTGGCTGTACGTAACTCGTGAGGGACAACTTGGTCCTGACGGCCTGAAAGCTTGCCACATAGTTGTTGTTACGTTTGCCCCTGTGCAGACGTTTAACCGCTGTGTTTCGCTCATAATTTACAATAATGATAGGCATCGGAATACTTTGACGAGGCTAAACAGCTTCCTGTTATACCTGGTATCACAGAAAAGCTACTAGACAATAACAGCCGTAGTCAATACATCTTCGTGAGGCAAACTAGGAGAATACCATCATTATCACCGATCAAAAAACCACAGTGAGGTTTATCGGCCAGCGGCTTGCCGTAAAAAGCATGTGCGTTAAAACTTAAAGAACCCAGTTCTACTCGGTTTTGAAATGCTGTTGCATCCATACCCAAAGCTGGAAACAAGAAAAATTCCCCGCAAGTATAGTTTGGTTATATTCTGAGTAAAAATACTTCTCCAGATGGAGCTTGGAAGATTTGCCAAACAGTTTTTTCATCACAACATTTAAGTTTTCCCCTTAAAAGTCCGTTCACGTTTTACGAGTCGACGAACCATGCCCTAAAATGCATGTTGGACGCAATGTATACGCGTATTGCATGCGTATTTAACGCGGTCAAATAAAGTGATTGGGGTACAAAAAAAAGTACGTCAGTGCAAATACAAATGTTTCTGCTGCGGCTGTATTTTGATAAACTAAATTTGCAATTCGTTGCTTGGCAACATACTTTTTTTTCAATCGGCCGATTTTTATTTTGTTTTTTTCAACACCGCCTGCGGTCGATATTTAAGACTGTCTGAGACAATCCAGCACAATATATTAATTCCAAAAACACTTAACGAGAGTGATTCAATTTGACAATTTGAAGACTTCACCTCCAATTTAAAATGAAAATACATTATGACTTTTCATGGCAGCCAAGAAACGACATCATCGTTTCGTGGCTACCATCAATTACTGCGTTTTTCACGTTCCTTCCTCTACGAGGGAAAAACGCCGAAAGAACGTAGAAAGGACATAAAAGGCGCGTTTGCTTCGCAAACTGTAACTAAATTTTTTTGTGTGAAATTTAAGGTTTCATTCAAGTTTCTTTCTCGTAACAGAAACATTTGCACTTGACTAACAGTACTGGCTTTTTAATTCTATATTGAATTTGCAGATGGTGTTAGTTAAATAATAGATTAATATAACTTTAATTGTATTTAACTATAAATTGCGTTGATTTTTGACCTACTCTTGTTAGGGAAGCCCCCTTTGCTCGGCCGTTCTTCTTTATTCCAACTAACCATTTTGTGTTTTTGTACAACAAGAACGAATGGTACGTGTTTTCTTCCTGAATTTCCTTAAAAACGCAGTTTAGCGACGGTTCCTCCTATTTCGATTAGAAGAAAAAATAAACAGTGTGAGGAGAAATGGCGGAAGTTTAAAAGCCTTATAGCAGCAGAATTGGAGTGAAAAGAGCGCAAAATATTCCTTTTTCCTATTTGCGCCTGTGTATCGAGTACAACGCTGTGGCCAATCACAGCATAGGTATCAAAGCAGTCAGCTAATGAGAACTTGAAGCGCATACGGTGTTAAACCTGGGAAAATGCTCAGGGCTACTTCAACTGTAGCCCTTGAAGCTTTCGTGTGATTGGTTGAGAAAGATCAACCAATCAGAGAGTAGCAACAGTAAAAACTAGTGACTCAATCTAGATTTTTCGGCCGGTATAAAGAGCAGCCATTAAATCCCTATCTCTTAACAATCACATAAAACTGAGCATTTCTACTTACAATTCCCTGTAAGACACCTTTTTCACTGAACGATAAATATCTTTGACTTGTCAGGCCCAGTATCATTAGCAACCCGGTCCCGATTGAGTGGAACTCCAATTCAGCTGTTGGAACATGAAAAAAATAAAGTAGGTTAGTTTCCTGGAATACCGCTCAGTATGTGTTAGTGATAGTTAAAAGAAGTTGTTTATCGTAAGACAACACAGCGGTCAAACGTCGAGTATGCGCAAATAGATCAATTTTGGCCGACCGCACGCCAATTTCCCGCGCAAAATTTCGAAAAACACAACTTGGTTCCGAAAGTACGCCTCATTCGTTAAAACGTTCGCGCATGCACACGCGTCTGACCGCTGTGTTTCGTGATACTTTGCTGTCAGATCAGGTTGAGCTTCGGCAAGCCTGTATGAGTGCTAAAAAGCCCACTCAAAAACCAAAGGGGTAGGGCAAGTTTGGTTCTTTGTCAAATGACAGGGGTGTAAAGCCTTCTCGACTCCTTTTTTCGATCTTCTGGAGTCTCTACGGGGAAGGAACGCAGGCTCACTTCCCAAACTGCGGCGGGAAATCGAGCCTTAAAAGTACTTGAAGAGTAGAGTTTTTTGTCTGAAGATCACATCATGTGACTCGTATCACGGTTTATACCTAGACCTTTCCATTCAAATTAGGTCACTTGACTTCTTCGTTTTTTTTTATTTAAAACAAAAAAATTTATTGAAGCACTTACCTAGAGGAGAATTACTGTCCGTAGTCCCGTCCACGGTTCCATCGCGTTTAATTCTTAAAAGGTAACCATTGCGATTAAATAATTTTCCCCTCCGTACGTATGTCGGAGGTTTTTTATGCAAGTTTCTGTCCATTTGTGGTTTATTCATCGTAAGGCGCATATACACCTGATGTTCAGGTGAGATAAATGCCTGTTCTACGTTATCCGAGTCATCATCGAAACCACTCGCCTCCCTTCGACTGCCCTTCGGCGAGTTTCCGACCGGCAGCGCTTCCGACGGAAGGAAACTTGAGTGGGAAACACACAACAGCAAAATCCAACTCAGCGCATTTGCCAATAAAACCTGGAAACAAGTAACAACATTTTGACTCAGTAACTGCGGCAACCAGGCCATAACAATGGTTTAGATTTCTCTTTGAGAGCATAAAGGCTTAATGAGATGGTTGCGTTGCATGTGCTTTCAAATCACTACCGGCCTTGGCCAGAGTTTCCTCTCGATGAACGGAAACAAGAAGTAAACTCTTTCAAATTTTATTTTACCTTTTTAAAGGTTTTTCTCAGGAAAACAATCAACTCTTACCTTCATCAGAAACCTCAGTGAATCAACATAACCAGGTCAGATCAAAACAGTCTTATAATTCAGTCTTATAAGGTCAGTAAGAGTTTAGTTTCACAGAGAAACAATAAACATTCTGATTTCTAAGGCATTGTATACGTTGGAATGTCTTTCACCTAGCACCTTTGTGAGATAATGAGAACAGTTTTTAATTAATATTCTTTTTTTGAACTCGCCGTAACTAAAAGTTAAACGTGCGTTAAAAATTCACTCTTTCGGCAAAGCCGTTTACTTTTCGCTCTACAATTCGCAAGAGAAAACAGAACATTAAAATGATTTGGCTTAACGTACACTTCTATAGTAAGTACATGAAGATCTAGAATAAAGGCGCTGGACATAAGGACGTTTTGAACAAAACACGTGAAACTTGGATGTGCAAAAATTTAAGTGACATAAAAGGTGCTATCTAGAATGGAAACAAAGAGATGTTTCTATTGAGGCAGGCCAAGGTCAACCTCATTTCAAAACAAGAGCTATTTGTTTTGAAAACAACCGACGTTTACCTCCTACGGTCGCCTGACATGAATCAGGTGATACTGTACACGAGTGTCAAATACGACTTCAATAGGGTAGCGAGGGTTGATTATCTCGTTCACACTTTCTCAGGTGAGAAAGTTGTATAGCCTTGGTGGCGTGCTTTCAGGCTGTCAGAACAAAGTTGTCTTTCAAGAATTATAAACTGCCCGATAAGGCCCAAAACATTAAATAGATAAATCAAGAGGAAACTGTGGTTAAATAAGCATTTTGTACGAAAGTTATCGATTTTTTCCTATTTATTATTCAAAGAACGTTTTAATATTGTTTTCTCTTAGTCTGTGAGACAGCGGATGTTTTCCACTAAACTTCCGCGCGGGAAACTGGCACGCGGCTGGCCGAGATTGTTTCCCTTGCGCATGCCTTAAGTTTGACCGCTGTTTTTTTCCCACCCTCTCACCAATCCCTTTGCCAGAAGACACAGCTGACTGATGTCTGCGCTTTTCTTTTACAGAACAGCCTCCAAAAAATTTGTACACCCGCAAAATATTTTTAAAAGTTAATTTTTTCTTTAATAACACTGGGAATAGGAAAATGCCTTCAACGACAGCAAAACGCCCCGATTTTAAATGCCAGCCACCTTTTTCTCCACAAATTTATCTGAATTTTTCACCTCGAACACTTGAGCCCGCTGTATTGACTGCATACCTGTGACGTAGCAGTTCGTTCTTCAACTCTGCCTTGCCAGAACTCTTTTGTCAATGCCGTAAAAGTCAAGAAAGGATAAACCCCTTGTAAGGAAATGTCATGGAAGTTCAGGCTTGCTAAATTTAGAAACCCACCATCCGGAAATTCGTTAAGGGTTTCTTAAGTATCCTAAAAAATATTGTCGTCATTTCCGGGCTAATATTCGGGTGCAACATAGAAACAGCCTCAAGGAAAAATAGTGGTCAGCGGTGTCACATTACAGAGTAAAAGTGTGTGGGTAGATATTGTTTACAAATGTATTCCTCCGTATTTGCATCGGCGACTTAGCGTTTCGGTGCTTTGATTCCATCTGATAAAACTGTGGTATGAAAAGATTGCACTTGATAAAAAATTAAAATTTTACTGTGGTTTTATCGCGTCACATGAATTCCGAAGTATTGGATATGAGGTTCTTTTCAAAGTAGCTTGTAATAATGGCAATTGTGTTTTGAGCAAATGAGCTCTGCTTTCTCGGATATTTTAAATCACTACGATACTTTCTCGAAGCCTTTGTTTGCGTAACGATAGATAAACGCTGATGCAATCGATGTCAGTTTTGACTCATAATCGTTGAATGGGAAGTTGAAGTGATAATCTCGCCGACGTGAAAAAATCTAATTATCAAGAACTTGAAATTCTTTAAACAAAAACATGATCAATACGACAAAACTAAAGTGTCCAAAATCACATGATGAGTGTTTGGAATTCTTTGCTCTTTCACAACTACGTTGCGGTTTTATTAGTAATGCGTGCGTAAATAACATCTAAAAGTCTTCCGGTCTATCGGACAGGCGGTCATAGAAAAATACATAATGAGACATAATTTGCAAGTCAGCGAGGTTGCATTCTGTAATTATTACTTAGAAAATTACTTTTAATTGCTGTCAGTTTAGTCTTTAAGTGATCGGACTACATCTAAGTATAATAAGAATCGTTGAACAATTATCAATTCCCCTGAATAGACCAGTAAAATTGACCGTAAAGTAGACGTCACTTTGACAACGAATTTACGAGGAAACCTACCATCGAGCGAGGCGGGAAAGTTATTAGTTTAAAACATTATATTTTACCGCGGGAGCTGACAATATTCTACTCCTCTGAAGTTCTTAAATGCCATCAGCAATTAGTAGATATCATTTCCAAAAATAAACGGAAGAGTGATCATCAAAATAAACAGTTCGAATGAACTGTTAAGATTCATCAAATCTAGTGACAGGTTGTGCTGTTTGATTCCCAAAATGAAATCTTTCATTGCTTGGAATCCCCTCGGTAAGAGCTAGAAATCGATGCAGAAATCTCGATAGTAATGTTGTGATTATAAAATATTGACAACACGAAGCTTCAATTTGATCAGAATTTTCGCTGAAAATTTTAACCGACAGTTATTCAAAATACTGATCCAAAGGCTTATGATTTTAATAGTGACCTTATAATAATAATTTGGCATGGCACTATATTCATCTGGTATTGGCGATGGAATTTTTCACGAAAAATTCAAGACAAAATTTTGTTCGGAAATCTCTTGGCAACGAATTTTCAAGTTGGGAGTCACGAGACATCTTGCCTTATTAATGCTTTAACTGGTAAAAGATCTCGACAGATCTCCTTCTAAAGCCTTTTTTAAGAGGCCACCGCCTACAGTTTCTATGAAGGCTGCATATCTGGCCATTTCGACCGAAAAGCAAAGAGAAGCCAATATCTTGTAATCGCCAAGCGCGTGAAACTACCTTACTCAGGAAGTTTGCACGTGGAATTCACTGCTATTCAATTTCTCACACAAAACGTTTCCTAAAGCTACCGTATGTAACAATCAATTCCAGCCGAGCGTTCGAAGCGGAAAAATCTTTAAACGTTATTCATCTTGAGGCTAAGAAGTAATGTACTATCAAAATAACCCCCCTCAAAAGAATTTCATTCATAAGTTTGTGGGCGCCAGTGTTTGTATACACACGGAACGCAAATTACTACCATGACCACTCGTCCACAACTAAACGAACTAAAACGATTTTAAAGCCCGATTTTTCATTGTTTTAACGTAAAAAGAATCATAATATTTTCGAAATTCTTGATGTACAATAATGTTAACTGTTTGACACTCACTTTGGGAAAATACCGAGCGACAATTTCCTCAAAACGGCGTTCACATATTCTGTAATTACCGTTTGCACACGTCAGACAACCAAGTCCGAGTAAGTTCTAATTCTCAGAGATAGGACAAATCAATTCTACTTCCCAGAAAGGGAGTCGTGAAACCTTACCTTGTACATACTAATAGACACTGAAATTTCATCTACTTCGCCGGATCTCTCCTGAAATTATTACCCGTCGCTAGGTAAGCTTATATTTCACCAAGCGAAGTTAAAATGAATGAGATCGGAAACACGTCGGACGATTTACCGGCGCATCCCGAAAATAAATTAAGCCCACCCACTTACTTCGAGAGGAAAGCGACGTAAAATTCTGTTAAATTTAACCTCCGATAATGATTATAGAATAAACAAAATCTTTAATGGCTTAGAGGTTTTAGACAAAAATGTGGCATCGTAGTTGAAAGCTTCTAAAGCGACAAAACAACTTAGTCGTGTTTTTCCCGCCAATCCCGAGAGGAGATGACGTAATTGGACAGCGGAGATCCCCAGAGTACGATAAGATTTCATTTACCGTGATATTTCTATCATCTCCTAAGACTTCCTCTCTTTAGCAAATCCTATCAGCTGCCTCACTAAAAACTGTTGACTCGGCGTTTATTATGCGTGTTTCTATAACTACACACCCACCACGCAAATATTACATTTATGATGCATAATTTGGAGACCTTGTGATATCTTGAAATACTCCTTCGCAATCATTCACTCTAGATTTCATGATGCCTTCTAATCGCTTCGCCTAACTTGTCTTTCAAACAATCCACTCTGAAATTGCCATCGCTAGCGAATTACGTAATGGTTTTAATTTAAAAGCTAAAAAGTTATCGAAATTTCTCGACAAAACGAATGGATTTTACATCACATGACGCAAAATGGCATTTTTGTTGGACTAAAATACTTCGTTTGCGTCAGAACTATCCATGTGTTGAAAGTACCAGTTTAAGTTGACAGAGAAGCTAATATCCGTTTCAATTATTATCTTGTTTTACGAAGATTTCGTTATTTCTTCAAAATTCACAGGTAATAAATTAATCCCCTTAATTTTTGCTGTTTTGAAAGTAAATGTAATCCCTTGGGAAATTGAACATTCTAGTGTCTTCGTTAATCATTTGACTGAACAAAACCTTTTACCTGAGTGGAGGAAATTGGCACTTGCCGTAACGAACAGCACCTGTTTCGTGTCGCAATGACCCGCCCACGCTGCACATGTTGGCCGTATTGTATCAGTGTATCTCTGACTGCGCGCGAGTCAAAACATTTTTTGTGCCAAATACTTCTTATACACACCCTGCAGGTGCGAAAGAATGAAATAAGGCGAGGTGAGAGAAACCCATGGAGCGAGTCGTAAATAAAACCATGTCTGATTTTTGAGAACAATGCAACTGCAGATGGCTTTCTTTCATATAGCACGTGATATACACTTTACAAATTAGCATAGATAGTTCGGATCCTTTTTCGTTTGAAATTTTAAAGGTTTGAAAATGATATGAATGGAGGATAAAAAGACAATTAAGACCAGAAATCAGACTCGATTTCAAAAATTATCTGTAAAAATGAAATCGATCATGATTAACTATGTTGGCGAAGGGCTAGCGCACGAGACGTCAGCTTCAGGAACTCTTCATGGTGGCCAATTAACATTATGAAATCAGTTGATAAAACCACTATATAAAGTTAATAGTCTCATTTCCCTTGAGTTTAAAAGTACAGAACCTCATTTTAAAGAACTTCCACCCCCGTGTTTTAATGTTTTATAGTTTTTGAATTTTTTTACAGAACAACGTTAACTTGAGTTCAGTAATCTTTAGCTTTGAATGGCAAAATTAGAGGTGAAATTTTCATTACAAACTTTATTCTCAGATTTTCGACAAATACCTAAGGAATCACAAATCTGTTATGATTTCCATCATTGAGAGATGGCGCATAAGAACTGAGTGGGTAATTTCCAGCTCCAATTTTTTTTTTAATTTGACAAGCGGATAACCAAGATGTAAGTTTCAAGTGTCGGGTCGTTTCTATGTTTGCTAATGAATATTGCGGTGGTCGATATGAGATCTGAGTAGGCGACTCTCTCGTTTATTGATAAGGACACCTTTTTGGAACTCCGTCCACTGGGTATTACAACATGCTAACCAAATCGAACTTTCCTTGTTTTATTTATGCAAAATATTGTCCTAAGCTGATAAACTTTGAGACTAAAAGAACATCTCTCTGGGCTTATCTGAATCTAGTAATAAAAGCCTATCTCGCCGTAGACTTTTCTTTAGCTCAGTGGTGAAGCACAGAAGCGCCATATGAGGAGGTCTGGGCCTCAATTTTTATCGCAGGAAATTCTAATATCTTTCTTTTCCCACGCACGCGACAAAACAAGTGATAACTCTGTCTACAAAGGCTCAGAATACTAAATGAAGATGATTTTTTTTTCAATTATGAATGGCGGCACGGAAGAACTATCAAAAGTAACGCCCATGCTTTTCGCAAAACGTTATTCCGCCTACAACAGCTTAAGAATCAGTTGGTCAAATAAACCATGTGATAATGGAAGATTGTATGAGATTTAAATCAACAGACGTGACTTCCGTGAGATGACTTAGCGAGGTGTTGCAATAGATCAACGCCTATTCTGCCAGCACCACAAGAATACCAGCTTAAACCCGGAGAATTTCACACGCGTATATTCTTTTCAAGGTAAACTACAAAGGCTGCCTGGTGGCAATGATGATTCCATCTGGTAAACGTGTCGATAAGAAATATTAAATATTAATATGAAGAAAGTTTAGTTTTGCAAATTGTGTACAACTCGACATAAGTAATAAGTACTGAAAAAAATGGATCGAAGTTAATGGCTTTTAGTTATCTTCAGAGATAATAACTTGTTATTTCAGGCCTCAGCTCTTAGCGAAATCGGTTGAAATTAGGTCTGTAGTCGTGAAAGAGAGGTGTAGATTTATCACTAGAGTGAAGAAAAAAAGGGTATCAGCGCAAGTTGATCCAGTTTCCACATAATTATTGAAAGTCATTTAAGATCAAGCAAAAACGTAAAAATTCTGTTAAGAAATCTCAGTTTCCGTGACAGGATTGGACAAGGACACACTAGGGATACATACACCACCAAATAATGACCCAAGTTGCAATGACGACAACGTCTTACGTCGTGATGAATTGTACTCTTCACGCGAATGATAACGTTAGTTACTGCATGTGTACTTTGTTTTTCTCTGCTGTATTACACGATTATTCCTTATTCAACAAAACAGTGGCTCCATTAAACTGAACAGGTTCATTATTTCTTTGTAGCTGTCGCGATTAAACGTGACTACACAAATGAAGAAAACACAAAATTTAAGCAGGCCTCGACGGGATTCCAACCCAGGCCTCACAAACGTTAGTAAGGGTGCTACTACCAACTAAGCCACGAACCCTTATGTTGGGAACGAGGCAAATTTGACTACGTAGTTCACTGTACCATGCCGTCCACGCGCCTACCTTCTTGTATCAGATAAACTGACGAGCGAATGATATTCGATTATTAGCATTGTGCAGTTCTTACGACAAGTTAGGAAACCACTTTTTTCTTCTTGCTGGTTCCTCTTTCACTGATTCAACTTAAATTACATGTTGCGAGCTACAAACAGATAACATAGACTCCTTCACTTAAAGGCTGACGAACAATACCGACTATTAGCACAATATTTTGTCTCCAACTCACCATTTTCTCGATGTAATCGGTGTAAAATAATGCCTTTGGGTTTCGAAGCTTTGTGGTAATCGAAGTCAAGTATTCTTGATGAAGCAAAACAAATATTAAAGGACATCTACGGAGACTTTCTTGTGTCGGCGAGAAGAGACTTTGAATCACTCATGAAAAACCAACGCACATACATGCCCTTTTTAAATATTGGCTGAGACAGCACAAATATTCCGGTACCTTAAGCAGGTACGCTCACTCTGAAAGCAAAACACATTTCAAAATATCCGTTAATAACATTTCTGTGGTTTAAAACTACAATTCTAGATCTTAAGGAACAAGGAAGTTGGATGGGATTCCGCAGAGTTTTTTCTTATAAACGACCGTCAGTGTACGTAAATAACTCTGCTCAAAATCAAAAACAACATTAAAAATATCTTTGTGATGTATTTGTGGTTCGTAACTACGATTTTAGATCTCAAGGAACTCGGAAGTCGTTAAGAGTTAAAGATTCTGTGAAGAGTCTTCGAAGCGGAAGACATTCCATTGAAGAAATTATCAGAGCAGAATTAGGAGTGCATCTTGCACGAGTAACTACCTGATTGCAGGACTTAAAAGGAAAGCATTTCTTCTGTACCTTACTGGAGAGGCAACCATTTTTAAGCTCGACTTAAGAATGCGTTTTAGAGACTCAACGACGACTTGCGAAACTCGCGTCCCGCAGGTAACGAATAAGAGATGAAACACGTACAACAGACAGTCAAAATGTTGTTTTGACTTTGAAGTGCTCTATTGTAAATACAGCTTTAACATACATTCTAAGATTCGAATCTCTTAGCTTTTAAAAAATCCGTCATGAAAAGACATTGCCAACATAGATGTCGTATATTATATATTGGATATGTATTGTTCGAGGATAACTGTTATGTTGTGCGATTCTTGTAGATAGCACAGATATAAAATGAGTTTTAAAAGCTCTCTTGAATTATGCAAAAGTCATGTGCAAGTCTCTGAAACTATATTGAAATAAGCAGCATTCATCACTTCAGAGGGCGATAAGCGTTTTAAAATGAAATCAAAACTTAATAAATTTGTTCCTGTTTATTAATACGGTATGCTTATTTTGGGGCATTTTAAATAGTGTGGTCTCGTCTCGTCGGCCGAAAAACGTCGGTTGCTTTGATAAGCTAGAACTTCCGTATAAATGAAAAAAATTATTTAATGTGTAATTAAAATATTTTTCGTCGGTTACGGAACACTGATATCTATTAATCGTAGCTAGGTCTTTCCACCTCTAGAAACTTCATAAATTGCTCTATAACTTGATAAACCATGGTTTGGAAGGATAATGCACTTTGAAAGTTTTTGTTGTCGGCTTTCTTGACAAATTGATTTTCTCTGACAAGAGTTTATGATTGTAAAATTTTGTCCCTGATCATGCTGAGAGCTTTTGCAATAATTCCAAACAAAGAAAGGCTGACACTTTGTTTGATTTCAATCATAATCTC